AAACATCGCTGGCCTAGACCGCTCCGGTCTTTTGCCCAACTGTTTGGACTCAGTGACTTGCGGCCGAAGGAACTCAGACAATGCAAACAGGGAAGTGCATTTATGCTCCAAGCGACGATGGTCTGCATTTGGCATGTTGTTTTTGGTGGTCTATTTCTTAGTGAGCATCCTGCTCCACCAGCAGATGATTCGAAGGCTTCTATTTGGACGAGTGCTATCATCTGCCTCCTTCGTGATCACCCGGACATACAACTCCAACTGTTTGACCAATGGCGATGGGGGGCAGTTGTCCGGAAGCCGACTGGACTTCTTGGCCTAAGACTTCCCAAACTGCATCGCTCCATGTACGCTTGTATCGATCCTTTGGCAAAATATCCGCAACAGACGGCTATCGGGAAGGATGAATTTGGGAAATTTCGCACAGCGGTTTGTAAAGAGTATCCGCCACATTTTTCAGCTGGAATGGCACGGGCCATTATCGACCAATTGCGCACAGAAGTTCGAAATGGTTCCCGACGCAGCTGTGAATTCGATTTTGAGGAGGGCCCCGTGCGTAATTGGCTGTGTGAAGCTCTGCGTGAGAGCTCAATGATCTGGGCGAATAGCTCTTTCATGCCAGACTACCAAGGGCATTGATCCACCTCTTTGCATAGGTTTTCTCTAATTAGGAACGTTGCAAGAGGCAACAAGAGCGAGACTCTTTGACGCCAGGGAAATTGGAATTGGATTGGTCCTACCCCCCAGATTCTCACATTTATTTTCCCCAAAAAAAGAAACGAAGAACGCGGCGAATCATTTCTCTCTGCTCAAATTCAACTCGAAACGAATTCAACCCGAAAAATGCGATCAACTTATATTTTTCTGATTGAACTTCCCTCCAACCACCCTCGATTTATCAAAATCTACTCGATTACATTTTTGCTTAAAAATCAGCACCCAGAAAATGCCTGGTTACCTCAAAATCAACTCAAAATGGTTTTGTTGACAATCGGGTGATGCATCGCTCAAAATGACCTCAAACTCTAGTCGCGGCGTACTCGACAGTTATAGGCGCCGTATTACTACCGCCCCAAGTAGATATATTATGAAAGAAGGGAAGGTTCAATTGTCAATAACAGCAGTCACGCACCTGATTTGATGAATTCCTTCCCTTCCAAGCGGTGCTTGTGGGTGGCGATGACATGACGGCAAGCTAGCCAGGCCGCGTTTATTCTGCAGTCCAAGAATTGGCAACAGGGTGGCATCTTGGCTCCAGAAGCCGGTGGAAATCGACAGACTCAGAGCAGATTGTTGATGTTCTTGCATTTGGTGCATCTTCAGCTGTGTGGCCGACAGAATCTGCCCATTGAACCAGTTGGCATCCAGTTGGCCTGGACCAGTTATTCATTTTCACGTCCAACATGCCTAGAAGAGCCTGGAAGAGCCTGGAAGTCAGAGAGCATACAACCGGAGGGTGCTGGAAATGGACTGGACTGCCACCAGTCTTGAAACATTTTTATGCACTTGTTATCAGGAATCTTAGTACTTTTCATTTCAGAAAAGGCAAATCCGCAAGGATGGTCCATGTTTGGTTTGCACTTTACCTTTGCTTTCCCAATGATGTGCCGTATGCTGTAGCTATGTGCGGATGTGGTTGCTCTGGAACATTTCGAAGGCCCACCCGTGGCCCCTGCGCTCTTGCGATACGCTGTGCACGGGTTGGGAACTCGGACCCAGAGGATGATGGTCCATTCCGATGATGAAAATCTATGGATATCTGAAGTTCAAAATGAAGTCCAAAATGAGGTTTAACATAGAGGGTGCAGCCGTGCAGCCCATATATAAGGTAAGGGCCTCGCTTCGGAACGCGTCTTCAGGCATCGCTTCGGAACGCGCTCTCATGCATCGCTTTCGAACGCGCCTCCTCACCATCATCATCATCATCATCATCATCATCGTTTTCGTCATCATCATCATCATCATCATCATCATCTCCATTCCTCACCATCATCATCAGCATTTGCATCATGCTCTTCTTACATCAAGTGCAACAAGATTGGCTCTTCTTAAATCAATTGCAGCAAGATATAAACCCTAAAGGTGTCGTGGCAGTCTATACATCAAGTACAACAAGATATAAATCCTAAAGGCGTCGTGGCAGTCCTTACATCAAGTGCAACAAGATATAAACCCTAAAGGTGTCGTGGCTCTCCTTACATCAAGTACAACGAGATCTAAAGCCTAAAGGTGTCGTGGCTCTTCTTACATTAAGTGCAACAAGATATAAACCCTAAAGGTGTCGTGGCACTCCTTACATCAAGTACAACAAGATATAAACCCTAAAGGTGTCGTGGCACTCCTTAGATCAAGTGCAACAACATAAAACCCTAAAGGTGTCGTGCCTCTTCTTACATCAAGTACAACAAGATATAAGCCCTAAAGGTGCCGTGGCTCTTCTTACATCAAGTGCAACAAGATATAAACCCTAAAGGTGTCGTGGCACTCCTTACATCAAGTACAACAAGATATAAACCCTAAAGGTGTCGTGGCTCTTCTTACATCAAGTGCCATAACATGTAAACCCTAAAGGTGTCGTGGCTCTTCTTACATGAAGTGCAACAACATGTAAACCCTAAAGGTGTCGTGGCAGTCGTTACATCAAGTACAACAAGATATAAACCCGAAAGGTGTCGTGGCACTCCTTACATCAAGTAGAACAAGATATAAGCCCTAAAGGTGCCGTTGCTCTTCTTACATGAAGTGCAACAACATGTAAACCCTAAAGGTGTCGTGGCAGTCGTTACATCAAGTGCAACAAGATATAAATCCTAAAGGTGTCGTGGCACTCCTTACATCAAGTAGAACAAGATATAAGCCCTAAAGGTGCCGTTGCTCTTCTTACATCAAGTGCAACAAGATATAAACCCTAAAGGTGTCGTGGCACTCCTTACATCAAGTACAACAAAATATAAACCCTAAAGGTGTCGTGGCTCTCCTTAAATTAAGTGCAAGAAGGTATAAACCCTAAAGGTGTCGTGGCTCTTCTTACATAAGTACAACAAGATACAAACCCTAAAGGTGTCATGGCTCTTCTAACATCAAGTGCAACAAGATATTAACCCTAAAGGTGTCGTGACACTTCTTACATGAAGTTCAACAACATATAAACCCTAAAGGTGTCATGGCTCTTCTGACATCAAGTGCAACAAGATATAAACCCTAAAGGTGCCGTGGCTCTTCTTACATCAAGTGCAACAAGATACAAACCCTAAAGGTGTCGTGGCTCTGCTTACATCAAGTTCAACAACATATAAACCCTAAAGATGTCTAAAGGTGTCATGGCTCTTCTTACATCAAGTGCAACAACATATAAATCCTAAAGGTCTCGTTGCTCTTCTTACATCAAGTACAACAAGGCTTCTTACATCAAGTACAACAAGGCTTTTGCTTCATATCTTCACCTTCATTTTCTGTGGCAGGCGTGGGACCTTTTTACATCGACCTTCATTTTGTGTGGCAGGTGTGGCACTTTTGTACATCGACTGTCCTTTTACGTGGCAGGCGTGGGACTTTATGACATGGTTGAAACGAGTCAAATTCTCATAGGAGGATGTTTTTTGTGTTGGTGTCGCTTTGGAACGCGTTTTTCTTCCAAAGTCTCGCGCCTGTCAGTAAATCTGATGTGTGTGTGTGTATGTCGGGGTTTCCATGAGTTGTGTTATTTTGTGTTCTGAAGTGATCCAAAATGGCTGTGTTCTGAAGTGATGCCTGAGAGTGTGTTCTGAAGTGATCCTTTTACCCATATATATCATTTGACATCATTTGACCATACTAAATTTCGCAATGATGTCTTTACATATGTTAACATGATGTCTTTACATGTCTAACAATATGATGTTGAATGATGTTGAATGATGTTAAATGTTAACATATTGTTAGAATTTAACATGTTAGATATGATGTTGAAATATGATGAGCATATTTCACCCATTTCACAATTGCTCTGAGCTTGTGACCTATTTCCCCAAGGACCGGAAGGACCGGAAGGACCGGTCCCAGTCTGACTGGCCTCAGAAAATGTCCTTTGTGCGGCGCGGTGCTTTTTGTGTTTCACGGTGCCATTTTCACTGAGGGCTTTTCAGGGGATAGGATTGTAGGATATTGTAGGTTTGGAGATGTTTGGAGAATTTTCAGGACCTCTTCCATCCTCATAATTCACGTAGAACCGCAGCTGATCTCAACCTAGCCATAGAGTGATCCGTGCACTGGGCATCATGGATCTCAATCCGGCGCAAGTTGTTGCCTCAGATCTTTTAAAAGCCTTGCTTCTGATTTTAAACATTTCATAGCAGTCTATGAATCATAGCGTGGTCATCCAAAATGGTGAACACCTTGAATTCACCTTTTTGGATCCTCAAGACTTAGTCACTTCGTCCATTTTTTTTGGATTTTTTGGCCGTCCAAGGTTTTGCCCGATGCAAGCTGGCTCATGAAAATGCAGGCACAGGCGCCTGCTTCGTGACATGATTCTGATAATTAGATGGATGCGCCAGTGATTGGCTGTGGCTGTTGCTATCCATTTCATTATCAGTAAGCCATTGTATTACCCTCTGGTAATTTAACATAGCTATTGAAAATGGCCATTTATAGTGAATTTTCCCATTTAAAATGATGATTTTCCATAGCTATGTTAAATTACCAGAGGGTAACGGCCATTGTAATTGTATATTAGTCCACCTTCCAAAGTTCAACATGTCACAGACTTCGTTCTTCTTCATTTTATGGGATTGTTTTGAGGGAACATCGAAACCGGAAACCATGGTTTTTCCCATGGAATATTAGGGGGTTCCGGTGTCAATTTTCATCAATTTTCCCTTAAACCATCTTAAACCAATCCAATAATAATCCAATAATCCAATAACATATGGATGTTCACTATAGTATAATCCAAAGACACATGGATTTTTCATTTCAACATCCATTTCTTCATGGGAACTCCCCATGGTCATGGCCATTCCCAGGCTCTGCCTGAGTGCTTGGCCTTTCGCACCCGACATCGGGCAGATGTGGCGTTCATCGTCACGATGGCTGGGCGGATCATCCAGATGTCACATGGCCATTTTTTGGAGATCCAAATGGAGCACCAAGATATCCCAAATGGAGCGGATGGACGTTTTCTATATGGTCTATATAGATTGAATGGATTAAAAATTGCTGAATTATATAGTGTATTGTTACATAGTATTGTTGTTACTTATTTAGTCAGGATGACCAATCCTGACAAGTACATGGCTTCCGCCGGTATTTTCGCGACTTGAGAAAAACCTCCAGATGACCAGCGGCCATGAGGCAATCGGGTTTCGCCATGTTGGAGTCAGCCTATGCCTGGATCTTATGAAAATGTCAACAGCTGTTTTTATGTGACTTGGGGCACAAACTATTATGTTCAGCAATCTGGGTAGGTGTGATGACAAACTCGAAAAAACAACTGATGACCGACCGATGTCAGGCACAACCCAACAATGCCGCCAATATCATGATGAAGAATTTGCTGGACCTGTGCATTGGTGTTTTAGCTTTCTATGTCTTCGGCTATACCATCGCCTATGGAGAGACCGAAGATGTCGGCATTGCAGATGCAGGTCCACATGCAGTGGGTGTCTCTGTGAGATGTTGGGTTCACGGAATCTCAATGATCTGCGCCGTTGATTTTGTGATATTTTTCTAGCTGGATGAAGAGTTTTCTGAAGAGTCTTTAGAAATGGGATTGGTTCTGGTGCACGTCCAGCTCTGTAATAGTAATGGAACAAAGATGAATCCACTTGAGCTTGCAGTCTTTAGTGATCGAACAGGAACAGCCAGTAATAGTGCAAAACAAATGGAAGAGATGCTGGATATCTATACCACTCGGTGGTTGCGCAGCCAATAGGACTGAAACTCTGCAGGTTTCGACTTGGCCCACTGGTTTTGCTGCTTTTCATATGCAACCACCGCTGCCACCATCAACAGCGGCGCTGGGAGCCAAGCTTGGAGGGCCAAATGCATCAAGCTGCCATGCATGATTCAAGTAGATTGACTGAGAAGGAGTGAAGCAGAAATTCTTGAGATGATTTAACTATGATTTAACTATGTTCGTTTTTCAGGGAAGGATATTATATGATATAGTAGTGTGCATAGTAAGATTACAGGGTTCAGAATGATTTGGCGAGCCATAGCCATAGCACGCCCAGGCCCTTGCAGGCCGTGTGGCATTCTTCCCCTACCTGGCCCTGTCTACCATGATGACAGGCCGTGCACATGGCCGTGGGAAGCCCTGCGATTTTTCCATGGAAACTATGAGAAATCATTCGGTTTTATGGATATGTTCAGGCGGGCTGTGAGCCATTGGTTTTACACGGAGTGCAATCATTGAAGGTATTTCTATACAAGTGTCATACCTAAGCTTTCAATTCCTTCGAAAATGAGAAGTATTTGCCCTGTAGAGCAACTGATCATCACAAATAGGGCTTGGTAAAAGATAATTTAAGCAACTGCCACCAGCTGGGTCCCAATGTCGTACTTCTGCAAAATCAGCCATAACTGCCGAAAGTTTGGTGATGGTCGTTTTTTCTATTTATTCGCCACGTTATTCGCCATGTTGGTTCGGATGGGTTACAACATGTTACAACCACTTAGCACGGCTTCGCAAGGCCTCGTCTATCCCATTTCTGCGCGTTTGGTTTGGGGCGGCGGCTGGTTGCAACAGATGGGCTTTGTCGACTTTGCAGGCGCCATATGGCCCTCAGTTCAGATGACCTTGGAAATACCTGGGATCTTTTGTCGGATGGCTGTTTAAAGCTTTTGACCGTAGCAGTGAGTTTGACCAGCCTTGCAGGATCTGCAACGGTGCATTTGGTGGGGGCTGTAAGCGCTTTGGCCAGATTCCCAGGATTCCCAGGATTCCCAGTGCTGTTGTAAGCAGATGATCTGGGCCATCCGAGGTCAGCACCATGATCTGTGGACCACGTATTGGGCGCTTCCCAGAGTATCGAGCTTGGCGGAAACCTTTGAGTTGGATCTTTGGAGAGAAACATAACGATCAGTACTACCGTGTTCCAGAGGTGGGGGGCATTCTGGCAGATTGGATGAATCTGACAAATCCTGATACATATATATAATATATTAATAATATTTTTTTTAAAAAAATATATATACATATACATACATACACATACATACATACATACATACATACGTACATACGTACATACGTACATACGTACATACGTACATACGTACATACGTACATACGTACATACGTTACATACGTTACATACGTTACATACATACGTTACATACATACGTTACATACATACGTTACATACATACGTTACATACATACGTTACATACATACGTTACATACATACGTTGCATACATACGTTACATACATACGTTACATACATACGTTGCATACATACGTTGCATACATACGTTGCATACATACATACATACATACATTACATTACATTACATTGCATTGCATTGCATTGCATTGCATTGCATTACATTACATTACATACATACATACATACGTTACATACATACGTTACATACATACGTTACATACATACGTTACATACATACGTTACATACATACGTTACATACATACGTTACATACATACGTTACATACATACGTTACATACATACGTTACATACATACGTTACATACATACGTTACATATATACGTTACATACATACGTTACATACATACGTTACATACATACCTACCTACCTACCTACCTACATACCTACATACCTACATACCTACATACCTACATACCTACCTACCTACCTACCTACCTACATACATACATACATACATATATAATATACCATACCAATCCACCTGGATCAGCAGTCTGCCAAGTTTTTCGGTGCCTGGCCTTTCCAATGCCCATTGCTTCGGTACAATCCGTAACTTTTTCGTCTGCCAGGACCCCGTGGAGAAGAAGGTCTTCATCCCGTTCCGTCGTTGCCGACATCCGGTGCAGCTGCTGTTTGGAACCTTCCTGCTGTTCCTCGGATGCTGGTTGCCCCTGAGGTATCCTGAGGTAAGATTGGAGATGAACAATTGGGGGTAACAGATGACAAATTGGGGGTAACCCCATCAAAGACGGAATCTTAACCAACAAAGATAGGGTATGATAGGGGCAATGATTTCCACGATGCAGTTCAGTAGTCTGTATGCAAGAATGACGCCTACCATTATTTGCAGTCATTCGGATGCCAGAAATTATCGCTTCTTAGGCCCAGATTTCGAGCCTCAGATTCATTCTTCAACACCGAAATCCAACCATAAGTGATTTAATAATCAGATATCTCGTCAGTCACAATCCATCCAGATATACATATGCAGTAATCCAGATTTCTCCAGTTTTTGGTTTCGTTTGATGAGGGTGACTTGATGAGTGTGACTTCATGAGGTTAGTGGGGTTCTTGGCGTTCAACCCCGCTTCGACCTTTTCGATCACTGACGGGGATGACCTCGTCATGGCCCATGCCTCCGCGACCACTTTGCTGGCAGCAGCAGGGGCTGGGGTCGGAGGCGTTGCCACGGCACGGAACGGCACGGAACATACGGAACTGGTTGGGATAAAAGATGATACCCTCTGGTAAACTAACATAACTATGGAAAATTACCAGATAAAACTAACCACTCTGGTTGTTTGGCGGATTTGAATTTGGATGATTTTTTTTGGCAGTTTTTTTTTGTTTCTCGGTTGTTCTTGAGATGTGCATTGGGCATCATTGGGCTGGGTTGGCCTATCCATGATGCCCTGGCTGCCATGGCTCCCAATTTCACCCACCAAAGTTGGATGGCCTACCGAGTCAATGCGCAAAAAACTTGAAATTCCCAAATCCATCCAACTCCAAATTCCATGGTCCATTCCGCTCATCATTCCGCTCATCATTTTTCATGGATGTTCACCCACTTTTTCACCAGGCATGGCTTATTCCATGGCCCGCACTCGCTCCTCGGTGGTCCGTGTCCCGGAGCTGACCAACGCCGTCATCGGGGGCTTGGTGGCCAGTTGCGCCTGCTGCACGGTGATCCCGCTGCCCATCGCACCACTGGTAGGTCTCATTGCGTCGCTGCTGACGCTGTCGGTGGAAGAACTCTTGGTCTATGTGCAAGTGGATGATGCAGTGGGTGCTGTACTTCAGCTGAAATACCATCTGGTTATTTAACATAGCCATGGAAAATGGCCCATTTATAGATGGTTTACCTATTAAAAATGGTGATTTTCCAGGGCTATCTTAAATAACCAGAGGGTATGATGAAATATGGTGAAATATATGATTCATGATATTCATGGTGAAGGATCGTGAAGTGGTTTTTCAGAGTTCGAATCAGGCAGGATCCTGCAGGATCCTTTGATTAGGACCTGGTTATGATGGGGATAATGGTCTGTCACATGCAGCTGACGCCAATGGATCCAATGGGCCAGGGTTGCATTCACTTCTTGAAACAACCTAAAACAATCGAAAGAATTCCAAGCATATGCAGGTAATATCCATGAAACACTATGAAACAAATACAAAGCTTTATTTTTCCAAGGGTCATCCATGGTCCGTAAGTTGTTGCAGACATAGGCTAGGCCGCTAGGCCCTGGCTAGGCCCATGTTTCATCATTTTCCTTTGAGGTCGCAGCCCATGGACCATCTGGCGCTTGGGGTACAATTGCCGTGAGTTTGTTCGCACAAAAACACTGCGGGGCCGGAAACTCTGAAGTGGTGGGCATCTTCTTCGGTGGAGGTACAGATGGATGGAAACATTTGGGGGTCCAAACTTTAGGAGTTCTGATCTTGACCGGGATTTCCTTGGGTTTTACCTATGTCATTGTGATGCTGGTGGATTTCCTCTTCGGCTTCCGTTGTTCGCGCGCTTGTGAGTTGATTGGCTTGGATTTCTGGGAACATCAGTTCGATGATGGAAGCTGGTTGGTGATTTCAGAGACGTTTTCGAATTATTTCAATCCCAACATATCGGAATTTAGATAATTTAGCACCAATCGATCGAGAATTCACGCGTGTTTCTATGGTCATCCCAATGAACCTTCATTTCAACTTCCCGAGTTTTGTAAGTTGAAGCAACAACTAACTCATCAACCATAACTGTAACCAACCCATACCAACCCTTCGTGCAAGCCATGGTTCAACCCTTGATGTGATTTTTCTGGTGACGTTTGGTGATTTTTTGTCCCAGGAAGTCTTCAGACCAACAACGACAAGGCCACTCTCTTTGGCTTGGCTCAGATGCGCGCAGATCTCAGTCGCAGGAATCGACATTTGGACTCCGTGGTGCCCAAGAAATGGCGGAGCCCAACCAAGAGCTACATGGATGTGACGGCCAGTGAAAACTCCTCAAGTGCCGAGATGTCAAGCTGGTTTGGGCTTGGGGGGAATGGCTGAAAAATGCTGGAAGAATTGGATTTGTAGAAATTTCATGAAATTTCTATAGAATTATAATTGATTATTAATTGATTATATACTTCAGATACCTTATGATACCTTACCTCAAGGTTCAGCTACAAGATCCTACAAGATCCTACAAGTAGGGGAAACGGTTGAGAAGAAAAACAAGTTTTCACATGTTGTCACGAAACTGTCGGGTGTTTTCACATGGTTTGGCAAGATGCAAATCCCAAGGTTCCGAAGTGTTTCCAGCCCCACAGCCACATCCTCTCAACGCCAATGAGAAGGACGTACATGGTGACAAGGCCACGATTCAAAAGCTGGCCAAGAAAGTGGAGGATTTGGAGCACAAAATCTCCCTGCTGACCGTTGGAATGTTGCGTGATCGGAGTAAAACCACCGAAGATATCTGCGGAACTGGCAATCGTTTCTCCCGTGACGCCAGTTCCGAGGAATCGCCAGTGGCTCCCGTTCGTACCACCAAATCTGACCGGATGTGACGACAAATTGTGACCGTTTAGGAACTCCCAGGGGCCGACAGCGCAAGGCCCATGTAGATAGTGATGATAGTGGATGTGATAGTGATAGTGGCACACTAATATGGCACACATATTCGGTTGCACCGCACAGCACTGCTCAGCACTGAGTTTCCAAGGCCTTTGATGCCTTTGGAGGCCTTAGGCTGGTGTTTGTTCTTCCGTGTTTCCAAGGCTCCAAGGCTGACCGATGCATGTGGAGGAAGCAGCCACAACGGAGCAAAGCTTGACAGCCCAAGACTGTCAAGATATGCTCTGAGGACGATTGCCGTCTGCATGGTATACTGGGCTGATGTTAGGAAATCACGCGGCGATAACCGTATGCCAGGATTATTTCATCTACAACTGTAAATCCTTTCCCCCTAATACATCCCAATACTAAATGGGGAACCAATAACACACACCTTGAAAAGTTTTTGTTTTTACAGAATGTGATACTATTTAGATCTATTTAGTATAGGATGAGACGCTTCTCCCTAATAATCAAGACATATCAAGACCTTTTTCATTAAAAAAACAAAGATTTCTCCAAGCTTTCTCCGAATAATTGATCAAGTCATGAGTCAAAACCTTAATTGAAAGAACTAAACATGTTCGATTTCAAAAGGCGAAACCGAAACCTAATACAAAAAACACCTCAAGGTTGATAGATATGAAAAATTACGGCTGAGTCACATCTTGGGCATGCTGGTGCCGCAATTGAAGACGAGAATTAACAACACCCCCAAAAAAATTGGGAATGGACCCTTGTTTTCATTATTTGGGGGACGTTCAGTTTCTATCAGTTTCTAGGGAGAGGGGATTGCATGATTTCATATGATTTTGATGTGGACAGCAGGTGAAGCTCTATGGCTATCATGGTTTCCCTTTGACCTTTCAAACACCGAGGTTCACGGCTTGATAGGTTGACAGTCAGATGTGGTTTCCGCGTCAGCCAGTCATTTGAGATCATCGCTGCCGAAGGGGCAGTGGAATTCGATTTGAGTGACCTCAGCTGCTCTTGCACTGCAATGTACGCGATAGCTAGGGAAAGATAGAACATGATAGAACAATGAATGCAAGATTTCCAGGGGGATCCGTTATGTTGTTATGATCTTGTTATGCACTTTATCATACTTTATCACATCCCCAATTTTGAAGGTTTCCGGCACACGGAACAGCCATGGTCAATGCGAAGCGCATTTCTGGGCGATGGAGTCGCCTGCCTCTCATACGCAGAGGATCTCAAGACATCGATCATCGAAGATCGAAGACCTGGATCTGCCAGGCCTTGTCGATGGATGAGCCAAGCTCCCTTCCAAAAATCACAGTGACAGCATGAAGAAACTGATGCTTTAAGCTTTTAAGTCTTTAAGCTAACACCACGAACTTGCGCCTTCTGTTTACTGGGCAAATGCAATCTGACGGAGTCATTGGTCTGGAGGGCGATGCTGGCTTTAATACTTCTGCACTTGGCACACTACGTGCAGCTACGTCGTCTCAACAGAACTGGCGGCGTGGTTGCATGTGCCTGCAGCTCGCTTGATCAACGCTTGATCAAAAGTTGGTGCAGGGTGCTGCAGGGTCATGACCAGTGGGTGTGTGACGATGTTTGCAAGACATCCACTGATTCTGCAAGTTTCATCACTTCTCCATTTGTTCACCGGCATGTGGCTCGAACACCGGCACAGTGCCAAGCTTTTGACTACCCTATAAAGCTATGTCCAATAGATCAATATGTGCTTGGACATATTTTCTTCGAAAGTTTCAGACACTTACAGGTGCAAAGGCCACAAATTTAACCCAAAAACTGTGAGGAAGCAAAGTTCATAAACTTGATGATTCAGCCAGTGCCAGCAATGTAATAAACATCGGTTGCTTTCACTTCAAATTTCACGAATGGCGTCCAGATTGCAGGACTCTCCGAAGTACCGAGCTCGGAGACCGGATGAGACCGGCGTGGGAAAGCCACAGTTTAAGTTCAAGAGGGCATTCCCATCTAAAAAATAACATCTGTGTATTGACATTGATTCCATTTACATTTGATGATATATATATATATATTATATACACATATAGACATATTAATAATACATATGGTATGTATAGAGCATGCAGAAAAAGGAGTCAACTGACCTCCAAGGGTGACTTCCGGGGGTCACCAAAAAACCCGCAGGAGCGCAGCGTTTCGGCCTTGGCCGGAAGCGCGGCTGGCCCGGCCGTGCTCCGACCTGCCACGGTCTTTCCTTCGGTGCGACGGAGGGACGGAGGGCCCAATGGATGGGTGGCTGGGGATATGGAAAACGTATGAGGATGGGGGTGCACAAAGGAATAAACATATACATACATATACACATTGTTGATAGCAAATTGATATTATATTGACATTTATTGACATGATATTTCGAATACTTGATGAATCCCAGTACCTCCATGTGAAGTACTATATCAGCACCCAGACTTTTAGTAAATGCCATCGTTTTTTCTTTGAAAACGACGCGGAAGTTGTCCTGGTGCAACGGTTGGAGGGTAGCTATGAGGGTAGCTATGGGTAGCTCAACAAAAATATGTTGACTTTTCCCATAAAAATCTTAAAATCCCATGAGCCGCGGACTACAGTTTGGTTCGACATAGCTACTGAGATGCCGTCCTCTCCACTGTCAGGATCATTCAGGATCCGATGGATGTCACAAGTGTCTCAACCACTTCCAAACCACTTACTGTAGAAAGCACTTATAAACCACTTGGAAACCACTTACATCCATTTAAATTCAACATACTTCAACATTTGCTCCCAAAACAACTAGTCCTTGGATGTCCTTGGATCTGTTTTCTTCATATGCCAACTTTTGGCACCGCAACACTGGGCTTTTGGCGTCCCCTAATTTCCGCGTAGGTGAACCGAAGGCGACCCGAACGGAGACCTGAGGGGCAGGCAGTGCCAGAAATTGCCGGTTTTTTACGCAAGCCCTGGGTGGCTCATATGTCTTTATGGGGTACAGAAAGCGAATCTTGGTGCAGATACCAATGGAAATAGAGTTAAATCGGGCGAAACTGTAACATCAACATGGTAGAAACGTGTAGAACCCATGTTGCGAGGGCACTTTGGGACTTTGGGCATGTGATGGCACGATGGCACCCGCAGACTTGTGCAGGTGCAGGAAGCTTTGTCATTGCCAACCAGGCAAGAAACAGTCGGAAAGTTGTTCCAGGAACAGTCACCAAAGTCACTTGATGTACTGGGGATGGATGATAACATTGGATCAACAATTCTTTACCGGCGATTTTGGGGTTTACCAGGCTACCAGAGCTTTGACCCCACACATATTTTTTGTATTAATATGTCATATCTTAAGACCTGTCGGAAGTCCAAATTACAAAGTTATTGGTCATTCTGTGATTCTCATCTCAACTGCCTGGCACCTTGAGGTGGATGATCTATCCCAGTCAGCGTCATTTGGGTGCCGAGGACGGTTTGGTCCCTGCCACAGATGGTTTCTGCTGCTTGGTTTCGTTGAATTTCTGCAAGGATTTTGATGTATAAGGATGGTCTTCCACTATTCACAAGCCACTATTCACCATCATAAATTGGTCGAAAGTGCCATAGAACTGCCATAGAACTGCCATAGATGATGTGTTTTCTCAAGTTCAATGGCCAATTGACCGGAAATCTTGGCTCAGGCCTTGACATTCGACCGTGGCCGAGTCTGTGTGACAGAGCTCCAGGGCCAGGGTCAGGCACACGGGGCACACGGATTCCAGTGATGTATCTTGCCAATTGATGGATTCCTAAGGGGTTGATTCATCCAAGGTTGACATTGCACATATTTACACATTCTAATTTATTCTATTTTTTTATAGTTTTTGTATGTTTTTGTTATCATTTGCTGAGGATGGTTTGTTGATATGTTTCATTCACTGGTCAATCCGCGATTTGCAGCTGCCGGGTTCCACTGGCTGATCCAGGAATGAGGCTGTGCTGCTGCAAAAGTTGAAAGATGCAGCCTCAAACAAAGCGGAAATCTAGATCCATCTAGCATCAGCTAGCATACATGCGTATATAATATATATATATATATTCACATTATACATAGTTATATAACATAGTTCAAGTATTTCATTGGGCTTCAATTTCTGGGAATGGATATGGTTTGAATCTTTTCGTAAGTTCCTGACAGGGTGCCGCCTTGGCGGCCACATCCAAAGCCATCCATGATCTTCCCCAAGATCACTTAGAGTGGCCTGGCGAAAGTTTGTGCTCAGCTTGGGGCTTGGGGCTGTCCATTTTAGTGGAGGTTTCCCCATATCCCAGGATTCTTGGCCGGATCATGGCAGTATTTCGTTGCACAAGTTGGGAAAATGTCACATGGCTTTGCGGATCAAGATTCTGAGTGGGAACATCCGTGGCATCATGGGGGTTCAACGATGGCACCTTAACTCAGGTGGGCACGACGCCAAAAGCAGTGACCGGTCCAAAGGACCCGTCGCGAGAAAACGTTCGCGAAGCGACTGGGGAGATTGGGGAGATCCATTGATTTACCGGTTTTCCTGCAAAATCATGACTTCAAAGATTTCCTGGGAATATCAAGGAATATATCAAGGAATCCCATGGACTGTGTCCTTTGGCGATTCTTGGATGGTCGTAGCTTCGCAGACGTCACGTGTAGGCTTTGGCTCGGCGAAAGAGCGATGTCAGGAGTTGACCACACGCTGCAGCATGAAATCATGGCTTCACATGAATTTGTATGTGAATTTGTATGTTCTATGGATTCTATCGGATTCTATGGTTTGTTTTCGTTGTTTTCACTTGTTTTAAATGTTTCTCCTGATCTGATAGACTCTGATAGACCTTGTCAAACAAGCATTGGTTTGGCAATGTGGGGTCACAGCAATGCCATGGAAATCTCTCACATTTGCATAAGATAAAGGTGTCAGACAGATTCAGATCGTGTTGGCTGCACCTTGTCTGCGATGCGATTTCCTTCGTTCCCGGCTTCAGACGCAAATGGAAGATGTTATAATATCGATGGGAATTTCAGGATCCTAAAATGGAGGTACTGTACCATATAAGGCCATATTTTATGGGGATGTTCTCTTACATAGGCCTTATATATGGTAGGTACCTCCAATTTAGGATCCTGAAAATCCCATTGAGAATATGTTATAATCCTATTGCAGAAATTGGCAAGTGGATCTATCTTCAGCACGTGGAAATGCATTTGGTTCTTTTTTTGGATGCTGTATGCTTCGGGTACCTGGGGTACCTGCATCCACGAAGTGGCTTTGCTAAGGATGTTGCACACCTTCTCGCAGGCCGCAGCCGAACATTCCCGGACCTATGGTGATCTT